AAATAATAAATAATAAATGATAAATAATAATAAAAAGAAAAAAAGAAAGAAAAAAAAAGAAAGATAATAATAAAAATAAGAAAAGAAATGGGAGTGCCAAGTTTATTTGCATGGGTAAGACAAATATGTCCAGGATATGTTAAAAGACTACCACAGAAGATTCAAGGAGAAGAGAAAAGAGAGAAGAATGAGACTGGGGAAGAATATGATAATTTATATATAGATTTTAATGGGATAATTCATCAATGCTCACATTCCGAAAAAGAAGAAGAAGCTGCAAGTGAAGAAGAAATCATGGAAAGGATATTTAAAGCAATGGATAGATATGTCAATTATGTAAGACCAAGAAAAATGATATTTATAGGAGTAGATGGAGTATGTCCAGTAGCTAAAATTATTCAACAAAGAAAAAGAAGATATTGTTCAATACTTAATAATACAGGAGGATTTGATTCTAATTGTATAACACCAGGAACTAAATTTATGGAAAAAATAGGAATTGCACTTCATGGGTATATTGTTAATAGAATGGATAATGATTTATATTGGTCAGGACTTAAAGTAATATTAAGTGATAGTAAAGTAGCAGGAGAAGGAGAACATAAAATATATGAATTTATTAGAAAAGAAATAGAAAAGAATAAAAAATTTAAAGAAGAACGACATTGTATTTATGGAATGGATGGAGATTTAATTATTTTAACATTAGGAATTAATATTACAAATATGACAATTTTAAGAGAAGAACAAGAAATAATAAAAAAAAATAATAAATGTGATATTTGTGGAAAGAAACATAAAACAAAAGATCATGGAAAAGAAACGAAATTAATTATGTGTTATCCTAATGAATTAAGAAAATGGCTTATTAATGAAGCTAAAAAAAATCTTATAGAAACAAAAAAAGAAGAAGGAGAAGAATATAAAGAAGAAGATATTCAAATAATAGAAGAAGAAATTATTAAAGATTTTATATTAATTTCATTTCTAGTTGGAAATGATTTTCTTCCAAGAATTCCATCAATTAAAATTCAAACAGGAGGAATGGAAATGTTATTAAAAAATTATTGGAAATTATATGTTAAAGGAAAAAGACTAAGTAAAGGAACAGAAATTAATATTAAAAATTTTAAAGAATTATTTAAAATGATAGGAGAAGAAGAATCAAATATTTTAAAAGGAATTATTCAAAATACAAAAAAAGATAAAGAAGTTAAAGAATATGATCAAAATATTTATTTTGATTCATCAAAAGAAATCAAATTAAATCAAGAAGGTTATCATGATCGTTATTATCAAATTCATTTTAATACTACAAATATTGAATTTATTCAAAATATTGTTCATCATTATTTTGAAGGTATTTCTTGGGTTTTTAATTATTATCTTAATACACTTCCTAGTTGGAGATGGTATTATAAATTTCATTATGCTCCTTTTGCTTTAGATTTCGCTTTATATCTTAATGAAAATGATTCTATTTCTTTTTCTTCTGATACTCCTATTCTTCCTTTAGAACAACTTCTTGCTGTTCTTCCTCCTCATTCTTTTATTAATCTTCCTTCTAAACTTGCTCATTTTGTTCTTTCCCCTACTTCTCCGATTCTTCATTATTTTAACACTTCTTTCAAAATTGATATTAATGGAGAAAATAAACTTTATAAAGGTGTTCCTCTTCTTCCTGACATTGACATTAATCTTCTTCATTCTTTTGTTTTCAATCTTGAACATTCTCTTCCTCCTTCAGATTTAAAAAGAAATCTTCTTCTTCCTTTTAATATCCTCTACGTCACTAAAAACTCTTCTCTTCCTCTCTTCTCAAAAATACAATCTTTATATCCTTCTAACTCTTCTCTCATCTTCTCTCTTAATTCTTCTCTTTCTTCTTCTCTTAATTCTTCTCTTAACTCCTCTCTTTCTTCTCTCCCTTCTCTTCCTTTCATCTCCTCTTCCCTCTCTCTCTCCCTCTTCCCTCTCTTTAATCTAGACTTCTTCATCTCTCCAAAACTTCATTATCTGATGTTCTCAAATCATTCAATTATCACTTTAACTAATCGTCACGTCTCTAACGCTTTCTTCTCTAATTAATCTTTTTCTTTCTCTTATCATTTAA